TATATATATATATTTTTTTTTTTTCCAACAAATATGTATTTGACAATTCTCTCATCATTACTAACCATGACACCATTTCAAGTCCATATGATGCTTTTCTTAATTTTTGTAATTTTTTGAAAAAGTGATTCAGGTTGTGCATTATATAAATATATATTTTAAACAAATATTTTTGAAAAATACAAATTTTTTAACATGCATTTTTTTCAGATTTTCAGTGATTGAATGTGGGGTTTTCATTTAGAATATCAACACATAACTGTGTCAGGATCAGAGAAATGCACTGATGCACGTCTAGTTTTACCAGCAGATGTGCACTAACAGTGAAACACACAGTGAGAGGATTCGAGCCCTTGAAACACATCTCATCTGATGCATTAAGGCTTCTGAACGCAGGATTTGGTGTAAAGTGCTCTCAAAACGTGAAGACTTGAATCTAGGAGGCTTTAGTCCATCCATTCTGAGAAAAAACCAAGTGAGGATGCGGCGTCCCCTGCGTTAACGCAGCGCAGGGTCTCTCATCCTCGACATCCGCTCAATTCAACCATAATGTATACTAGTGCTAATGAAGAGGATCAGAGAGCCGCGGCTGGAAGGATTCTTACGGCATTAGCAGCCGCACTTGCTCTGCTCGGCGTCACGCGGCTCTGCCAGGTTGCTGGTGCTGTGGCCGTTGCTGCGAACCATCCCGTCGGGGATCCAGGATTTGTCCACACATCTCTCCATGCGCTTCATGATCAGATCCAGCAGAACCTCCACGGCACAGCTCACGTTCTCGCCGCTCGCAGCGCTCGTCTCGAAGTACGGGACACTGCGAAAAGACGAAAAATAAAATGGATTAGAGCACAAACCACTACTCCAACACTTTTATTGATGCATTTCATTTAGTCCTCAAACTAAGTAAAGTATATTATTACGCATTATCATGATCTAAGAGGGATTTTTTTTAAATGCATTGTGGGATTGTCTTGTCTATGAAGGATGCATGTGATAGAACACAGCATCGTTTTGCTGCCTAATTTTCAGAACAGTTTTTGCATTGAGAGTGTGTTAATGAGCCCTTAAAATCCTGCCTACATAGGCAGCTCACTAGGATTGGGAACTGAATCAGTCTCATAAACATAAATGCACAAGATTTTATGTTGTTTCCTCATGACTCTTTTTCTGTCTGTGTGATATATGATCACATGAACACTCAGCATGACAACTGAAAAACACAAGCTCTTATAATGCAAGACCACAGCTAGCTGTAAAATGTATTATAATGTATTATTAGATAGATGTCCAATCTAAACTGGCAGTTTAAAACAAATAAAATAAAAACTTACATTTTTTTATGTTTTGAAATAAGTCTCATATGCTCACCAACCCTGCATTTATTTGATAAAAAACAGTAATATTATAAAATATTATTACAATTTCAAATAACCGTTTTCTATGTGAATATATATTAAAATGTAATTTATTTCTGTGATGCAAAGCTGAATTTTCAGCATCATTACTCCAGTCTTCAGTGTCACATGATCTTCAGAAATCATTCTGATATGCTGATAATCATCAATTTATTATCAGTGTTTGTACAAAGACACACCTGGATGAGTTTAGATGTGAGGATCAGTCAATAGAATATGAATGACACTCAACAGATGAGTCACAGCAAACTCACTGAACGCTGACGAGAACTAGAACCAAACGCAGTCAACATTACTCACAATAAAATAAAAAAGTCATCAAATATTTTAACAGTCGATCTGCTTGATAGGAGCACCATTCATATGATTCGAGCAAAGAATTTTCATGTAATCATACTGAAGTATTCATGAGACAGAAACCTTCTCAAAAGACTTGAGTGCTTGACTCACATGAACACAAGTCAATATTAGCCTTTCGGTACACCACCATCTTAACGTGTCACATTTAACGAGAGCTGCCCTCATCTTAGGCAAACACGCTACAGACGCAGCCCTCAAAACAAACATCCTCAGAGTCGCTCGCATCCAGAAACGACTCGCCTCACATGTGAAATTACACTACAACTCTATCACGTGTAAATATACTGATTTTACATAGATGCAAACTCCTCACCTTTCAGTGACAACTCACCTTTTGAGATCAAAATAGGTCACCTGTGAGATTTGCTTAGATCCAATGAGAACTCTTTAATTCAAAATCTATGTCAGAAAAGGGTAATATTTTATGTATTTGAGGTCTGAGATGTGGGAACAGTGAAGAGAGAGAGAGAGGGGGGGAAAAAATTACATTTTAGCTGAGCATTTCCGTCTAATCAGCCAATATTGTCTTCAATAGCCTGCATAGCACTTCATCGTTTAAAACATGGGATTTTGACCCAATATATATTTAATCTTGATTTTTGCAAAATGTTACAATAAGATAAAAAAAAATGTTTGTTTGTTTGTGAAAAAATACAGTTTTGGACATACAAGGTAATAACAAATATAAAAAAATACCTTAAAAATGAGCATGTAAAGCAAATGTCTTTAAAAGAAATCCCCCCTCACCTGTGTGCATCTCTGTTTTAATATCAGCACTAATTAAT